CGTTCTTTTTTTTATACTTGATATTCGACCTTTCGACCGACTAATCTAAGAAAACTAATCTCCCTGTTCATTTGTCGGTGTCTCATTCAAAATCAAAGCATAAATTTGTATGAACTTGACCAACACATGAATTATTAGCATCTAGAAGAATTAAAATCTAAGACCTTAAGAGAAATACACTCTCAAGACTTAATTCTTCACTGTCAAGTCAATCCCTAGATGTTAAAACGTCTTCGTATATAAGAGTAAAACATGTAATTTTAAATATTCCAATTCATTTTTTCTTTCACATTATTTCTTATTCTTTCACTGACTTGTGTTGAAGTGTTAATCTTATTGGTCAATCTCTTCTCTATGAGATCGAAAATTTATTCCACCAATCTAAAATTTCATCTCCCCCATTTTATCAAACATCTTAGTTCCTTTAATGAACACAATTATAATAAAAATTACAAAATAAAAAAAAATTGTTAAATTGAGATTAATAAAACTCTATGTCATATTCGAATATAGAGTAATAACTACGTGTGTGGTGTGAGTTAATATGGCTTTCAATGAACTAGTATGTATGGGTGCGCAGTCAGTGATACCGTTCTTGTACTTATGTACATAAATGAACTCCTGTGTTTTTGTTGCAAACAAGTCAACCTACACTTACATGTGGCAGCCATGCAAAACAGAACTTCAGAATCCATTGTAAGTAACTTTTAATGAATTCACAAAGATTAAAAAGGTCAACGGGTGATTTTATTAAATTATGTTTAGTGCTAAATCAGAAAAGTAGGTAAATCAAAAGAAGGGAAAATTTAAGAAGGTCACGTGGGTTATCGCTCATAACAAATTTAAGTAGGTAAGTATTGGACCATAATTCTCTTCATCCATGCCAATGCCACAAATGGCTCATAGTTAGTGATCAAATTTTTTTATAGAAAAAGTTTAAATACATTTTCTAACTCTAGATGTTTTGCAACCCACAATGGCCAATCTCTTTGATTAATTTGTAGACATTGATATGAATTACAATCCATTTAATTCACGGTTTAATGTGACTTGTTTATTCTTCAAAACCTTTAGGATACATCATTTGAAAAGGTGAGTTCTTTAGTATATTAAATTTGAGTTGAGTATTAATTGGTACTCTTCAAAGCTAACTAACTAACAACTTTGACCAATTTATTGTTATTAATTTTGACTTGGTCCTTAATCACCTTTGCATTCCCTCGGTTTGTAGTGAGTGCACTTAAAAAAGAAAATGGTAAAAATTCAAAATTGAGATGTGGTGAACCTCAAATTCTTTGTTTTTAATTTTCTCATAAATGAAGTATGGATTAAGTTTAAATTTCCAAGTTATTGAGTGAAGAATAGGGTTGGAAAGAACCATGGCAACATTGGGATTATTAAATTAGACAATAAGAGGAATGCTTTTAAATTATAGTTGCATTCGCGGATGTGGTTATGATTGTGGGTGTTGCGATTGTATTTATTGTAGTTGACGTGATTTGTATTGCAGTGAATATTTAATGAGATATTTAAAATACACATTTGAAAAATGCTTCCTCTCATAATTATCATCATATTCATAACAAAAATATTTTTTTCTGGTAGTTGGTGCGATTTCACAATTTGATTGTATAAATTGTAGTGTACACAATGGTAATACTTGATTGACGATGAAATGAAGGTATACTTTTTGCAGTTACAAAGTCGAGAAGAATCAAGAGCACTAATGAGATCAATGCTCCAGGATCACAAGAGAGACGCGTCACATTTGGGGTGTTAGGTGATACCACTGTTGAGGAGTTTGAAAGAGTCGGGAGCAATGCTTCAGGACCACAAGAGAGAGAAACATCACATCTCAACCCAAAACCTTAAGGTGATAGGTGTGTAGGTCATCTCTCTTATAAATTTAACATTTCACTCATTCATATGCAATGTGAGACTATAACCACTCACACTTGCACCCAATAGAAAGAATAAAACGTAAGAAAACAATGATGGTTAGAGTGGAAAAAAAACTTAAGAAATGATTGCCTGTTGGTCACCAACTACCTCAGTTGCATTGGGAGCCTGTTGGCCATCTGCATTGGCAGCCTGTTGGCCATTTTTAGGGGCAACAACATTGCTTGTTTCAGGCACTTTTTTTGGTGCCTTTCTATAAGACATCTAAAACATAAACAACATGTCACACATAAAACTTACACATCAATACACAAGTCAAACAAAACAAATAATATACACACATTTCTCTTTAAAGCAGCAGGCTTTTGTTCTGTACTCTAACATTTTCTTTAGTTATGTACAATACGGTCACACTTAGTACACCTATAATTAACACCAGGTCTTCTCATCCTAGATTCATTTTCATCATGTTCTCTAATCCTAAGTTTCTTTGATCTACCTTTGGTCCACCTTCTTCGGAGGATACTTCTTCTCTATAAGAGAGTGAGTTCTAGAGTAGCCTGAATCGACCTAACCTTAGAACGTAAGTCTTTTTTTTAATGAATGTATCACTTCCCCTAGAGGCCCCCTTTTGTAATCATACATCTATGGGCTCACTAATGCAAACCCAAAGATTTTACGGTGATTACTTTTATGATATTTGAATGTCATCGTAGATTTTAATTGATTTTGAATTTTATATTTCCTGGGGCGAGTAGAGTGTCCCTTGATGGGAATCTTTTAATGTAGGTTCCACGATGATATGCCTCATCGGGAGACAACGATCTTTTAGTGAAGGTCAAACATCAATATGTCTTGTAGGGCAACAAGTCCATAGAAAAATGGTTAAGAGCACACTTCGAGTTAAAGGTGCATCAAACAAGTAGACTTTCGCTTGGTCGGAAGTAGACAACATCACACTTTAACACATCAATCACTAGAAAATTGTATAGAAAACGCATTGCACCACACATTAATGATTTCAACTGTTCTTGTTTTTTTTTAAACTTGATATCCGACCTTTCGACCGACTAATCTAAGAAAACTAATCCCACTGTTCATTTGTCGGTGTCTCATTCCAAAGCAAAGCATAAATTTGTATGAACTTGACCAACACATAAATTATTAGCATCTAGCAGAATTCGAATCTAAGACCTTAAGAGAAATACACTCTCAAGACCTAAGTCTTCACTGTAAAGTCAATCTCTAGAGGTTAAAACGTCTTCGTATATAAGAGTAAAACGCGTAATTTCAAATATTCCAATTGATTATTTCTTTCACATTATTTCTTATTCTATCACTGACTTGTGTTGAAGTATTAATTTTATTAGTCAATCTCTTTTCTATGAGATCGAAAACTTATTTCATTCTTCTAAGATTTCATCTTCCCATTTCATCGAAGTGTTTAGTTCCTTTAATGAACACAATTATAATAAAAATTACAAAATAAATAAAACAAATTTGTTAAATTGAGATTAATAATTCAAATATGAAGTAATAACTACGCGTGTGATGTGAATTAATATGGCTTTTAATAAACAAGCAGGTATTGGGGCGCAGTCAGTGATACCGTGCTTGTACTTATGTACATAAGTTAACTCCTTTCTTTTCGTCCCAAACAAGTCAATCTACACTTACATGTGGCAGCCATGCAAAACAGAACTTCAAAATCCACTGTATAATAGCTTTTAATGAATTCAGAAAGATTATAAAGGTCAACGGCTGATTTTATTAAATTAGTTTTTTATTAATTACAGTATTTATGTGCTTTTCATATATATATATATATATATATATATATATATATATATATATATATATATATATATATATATATATATATATATATATATATATATATATATATATATATATATATATATACTTTCTCTATTTCATGAAGAATGTTATTTAATGAATTTTATTTTATTTTTTCAATTGTATAAATATATTTTCTTTCAAATTAATATATTACAATTTGTTTTTATGATAGTGTCACACAGTTAATTTATTAGATTAATTTAGTAAAAATGTCTTAATTTTAACAATTTTATTATATTTTAAAAATATGTAAAAACTTTAAATAACATTTATTTTAAAAAAGATAAAAAGTGACTTCTGATTACATAATATAATAGTAAATAAAAATTATTATTGAAAAAAAAATCAATTTATAAAACATAAATTGAAAGTGATAATATTTTAAATATGTAATTGATTCTTCACAAATGACTATGCACAACGCTATTATAACACAATTTTTTTTACATGTTTAATGTATATAAAAATTTTAAGTGATACTTACTTTAAAAGGGGATGTAATTTGTGGCTGATGTAAATAATATTAATTAAAAATTATAATTAATAAAAATCTATCAATGCAACAAGAAATTTAAAGTGGCACTCTTTTTAATTATTTTTTGAAAATGTGAGTTATTCAGTATAATTGTTAAGAACATCTCCAATGCATATATCTGAATCACTAAATGCATAGTTATTAGTAAAGTAGATATATTATTGTTTAAATTTTTGTGTACATTATTTATAGAAGCAATGCAAAAATTGCATAGTTATCCATTATATTTTATAGTGAAAAAAATAAAACTTCGATAATTATAAAATCAACCATAAAAAATATAAATTGATAGGATCTCCTAGAGATTGTTATTAAAACCACCATTAAAATAAAATATATTAAAACTGCTTTGATGTTACTAGTACAATTTAGGGCACAAAAATAGCACAATAAATAATCATTATACATGTAGTTTTGATTAAAGGTGCTAATTCAATTAAATAGTCCACTATGAACTTGAAAGATAGCTGAAAAAGAGCTTTTGCTTATAAACTAGGAATAACATTAAATTGATCATCCATGCATGGTTGCCAAAAAAAACTTCAAACTCTAAATTGACCCGACAAGACAAACAACATACGAGGCTAGAATCTTAAATGTTTGGTAAAAGAAACCTAGGACTATCCAAACCTAAAAACAATATTTAATTGGCAGCACAATAAATCAACAACTACAACATGCATGCAAAGCATCAAAATAAATTTAATTAAGGACTTGCACCACCGCCCAAACCACCACTACCACCACCTAGGCCCCCAGCTCCTTCAGGCGCACCACCCAAACCCATACTACTAGAACCACCACCCAAGCCACCACTTCCACCACCTAACCCTCCGGGGCCGCCGGTTCCATCTTGGCCTCCAGCTCCTCCAGGCTCACCCAAACTTCCAATTCCTCCGGGCCCGCCCAAACTTCCGATACCACTACCACCACTTAAGCCTCCAGGACCGCCACCTAAGCCTCCCGCTCCTCCAGTCCCACCCAAACCTCCAACACCACCACCAACACCACCACCACCACCACCTAACCCACCAACTCCACCACCAATGCCATGGTGACCACCGAGAGCTCCAATTCCAGCACCACCACCAATCCCATGGAAGGCTCCAATTCCAGCACCACCACCAATCCCATGGAAGGCTCCAATCCCAGCTCCACCACCAATCCCATGGAAGGCTCCAATTCCAGCTCCACCGCCAATCCCGCCAACTTTCCCAATGCCACCACCAATCCCATGGAAACCACCAATTCCAGCTCCACCACCAATTCCACCAACTTTTCCTATTCCACCTCCTATCCCTTTGCCAATCGCACCACCCTTTCCGATCCCACCTCCAACTCCACCACCAATCCCACCAACCTTCCCTATTCCACCACCTATTCCACCTATCCCACCTATCCCACCAGCTACTCCACCTATCCCACCACCAATTGCACCACCTTTTCCAATTCCGCCTCCAATCCCACCACCAATAGCACCAACTTTTCCAATTCCGCCTCCAATTCCACCACCTATTCCACCTGCCTTCCCAATCCCACCAACAAACCCACCAATCCCAGCAACCCCACCAACAAATCCACCAACCCCACCACCCAAAAAGTTCTTCTTTTCATCAACACCCTTACCATTTGAACTCTCTGCATGTGGCACAACATTTGCATGCACCACACCCATTTTTTCATCATCACCACCTTTTGGAACCGTACGAGCTCCACTTGCATGCACAACAACAAGCACAACAAACACAAGAATAGCACTCCACTTCCCCATCTTACTTACCTTTCAACTCTTTCTCTCAGTTTTTCAGTAGGAAAAACTTGATATGATATTGCTGTAGATTGCATGCAAAAGGGGTGTGTTATATAATAGTGAAACTGGTATAGTGGACAGTTGAGAGTAATAAAAGATAGCAAATGAAGGTAATAAAGAGTTGTCAAGTGTCAACAATTCATGGGAAGACTTTAATATGTTTAGTGCTAAATCAGAAAAGTAGGTAAATTCTTTAATATGTTGGAAAAAAAAAATTGAAAGTAAAGAATTAGAAAATTCTTTAAACACATACGTTATTTGGTTTAAATGACAACTATTATAAAAGTTTAAATAAAAGTTAAAATCTGAGAGAAATAGAAGGGTTTAAAGTTAACTATTAAAATATAAATAAATACAAATAAATAGTTCTATACGAGGTGTCTTAGTTTTCGTAATAAATTTTTAGATTAAATATTTAACTTAGATGTATATATTTTAAAAAACAGTTTTTTATTGAAAATTAAATTGATAATCTAATCAATAAAAAAATATGAAATACCTTCGGAGACTCACAAATATGCACTTCTGAATGAACTAAAATACAAAAATGGATAGTTTTAATATCTTAAAATTGTGGAAATAAAATAATAGATTCTGTACTATCTTTTGTGTAAAAGAATTAAATTAGAACTATAAAAGAATTATACTATATGAAATTAAGAGGAATAAACATTCGGGTTACAAAATAGTTGAGAAAGGAAATAATAAATTAATATAAAATATAAAATATTAGGTTATAATAAAAATATTAAAATTAAATGAGATTAACACATGAAGACAATAAGAAAATAATGTTTCATCTATGAAATTAAGGGGAATAAATAGTTGGTTAGTATTTGGGGAAATTATGCTACAAACTTGACTATTCAAATATAATAATAAAATAATGAATTTTACTCTTATTTGTGAGTAATCTATCATGAGCAAGCAACCACGTAAAATGATGAATGCGTTCTGGAATATTGAGTTTCCATATTTTCTTCCACATAACCTCATTACCGCTGATGATGGGCACACAAAGATAGTTATACATAGCTTTAACTAAAAAATCTTCCGCACAAGTTCCTACCGTGATGAACTCATCTTCTCTATAATGATCTCTAGGAGGAATGTAAGCTTTAATTCTGCATTGGATGTCACTTGGCATCCAACCATGAAAGATATGTCAATTCCACTCCCTATTTGTATCCATCAGATCACACAACTTGGCGCCTATGAGAGTGGTCGGAATTTGGATGTTCAACTCCTCAGTAGTGAATCTGGGAGCCAACCAATTGTCTTTCCACTAATCTATTTTTCTTCCGTCGCCGATGCTCCAACTTCCAGATGAACGAAGGTGATGATTCATCTTCTTAATACCTTTCCATAAGCTTAAATTTATGCCTTTATTGTTAGGTTGGTCATGCTCAGTGATTTGTCTATATTTACCTTTCAAAACCTTACACCACAAATCATCGGATTTGTGCCGCAACTTCCACCCCAACTTCATAATACAAGCTTTGTTCATTTTGTCAACTTTCCGAAGCCCTAGGCCACCATCTTCCTTAGGAGTAGTGACTTTGTCTCAACTGACTGCTTGAACTTCCTACTATTAGTTGTGTCTCCCCAAACGAAGTTTCTTTGTATACTGTGAATCTCGTCGATACAAGTTTGGGAATCACATTTGTCATCAATGTGTAAACGGGCATGACTTTCATCACAAAGTGATGGATTTGTTTTAGAGGAAGGTAGACAGCGCTACATCAATGTTGAATACCAATAATTTTCATTTCAAATAATAATAATAATAATAATAATAATAATAATAATAATAATAATAATAATAATAATAATAATAATAATAATAATAATAATAATAATATGCATTAACCTTCCCTAAACTTGCATATACCAACTAACAAGGAACAATTATCATTGGAAATGGATTGGAGGATTGCTAACACAACTACAAGGAAAAATTCTCACGAGAAAGGGAGAAAAACCACTAACTTCAAACGAAATCAAAGATAAACTGAATAAGGTGTGGATTTCAATGTCTAACTAGAGCCGTACTACTTTGCGAAAGAGGTTTTTGGAATTTTGATTCTCCTTTAAAAGAAATAAAATGTTAGTTTGGTCAATGAGAACATTAAACCTAAAATCGAGTCTATTGCGATTCTTTAAATGGTCTTTTGGTTCTAATATTCGAGGGAGAAAACATTGTTTAAGATAGCGAACACGGTGGGATTTCCAATCACAATAGACGAAGAAACAAGAAGTAGACTTTTCTATCACTTTGAATGAATTTTGGTCGATATTGATCTAGATAAGGGGATATATGATAAATTGATGGTGGAGAGATGGGTATTTGTGATAGAGATGGTTTAATAAAAGCTACCTCCTTTCTAAAGTAACTGTCAAACATTATAACAAATATTCTAGGAATGCAATAAGATGACAAGGACTTTCCAGAAGACATTGATAACAGTTGATGAGAGGGTAAAAGGGGTGAAAAAAATATTGTGTTACAAGAAATCAAACAAAAGTGGATGGAGGTCAAGGAATCAACTATATAACAAAGGGGTCATTCAAAAGCTAGGAAGATTGGGATTCAAAACCAAGAAGATAAGATGAAAAAAACCGGGTTACAAATAGTATAACACAACAATGATAGCTTTGAGGAAGGAAAGGTGGGAATTAGCATAGAAAAACCAAAGTTAGTACATGTTTAGAAGGAATCTAGAGGAAGTAAGCCTATGCGGACACATGGTACGAAGATTGGATCAAAACTGGTGGATCATAGCCCATTATGTTTTTTGGGCGATAGTTCAATAATAGTGGTTAGTGGTCAAAAGGAAAATATAGAGGAAAGGGACTAGAGTAAAGGTTTGGCTGAAAAAAAGAGTGTAGGGATACAAAGGTTTGAAAAAGAGCAGACACAACAATATTCAAGGAATCTTAAGGGGCAGACTATAAATTATAACTCAGATAGTTCTTAGGAGAATAATATCAACTTGTATAAGGAGTAGAATGTGCAAAAGGTACATTATTTATTGCAACATGATGAACATTAAATAGAAATCTATTCAAGCACTGCAATGGAGAAAAACCAATATGCCTAACTGCTGCACTGGAATAATATGATGATTTAAATGAATAAGGAACCACGATCGAAACAACTAACACTACAAGAAAAACCTGATTTAGCTTGGGGCAAATGGCTAGGGGTTAAGCCCCAAGCTAAATTTACCATTAGCTCGGGGTTATCCCCTGTCTAAATAACATTAAAAAAATTTAAAATTTGGTGTGGCTAAGAGCTCCCCGTAGCTAAATTTTAGGTGGGAATTTGAAAATAAATCTATTGGATGTTTGCGAGGGGGTGGCACATGGGAAAAAGGAAACACATTTAGCGAGGGGGCATCACCTCGCCACAAATAATAGTCATTGGCCATTTGCAAGGGTCCATCACCTCGCCAGAAAAATAGGACTTTTGTGAGGGGCTAACCCCAAGCCCATTTTCACATCACATCTTGCTCTGCTGCATCTCTGAACCGACTTGCGTGTTGCAGTGGGACAACAATTGTTGGCAACTAGTGAGGAGCTAGCCCCAAGCTAATTATGGTACAGTTTGGCAGCTAGCGAGGAGCTAACCCCAAGCCAAGTTTGGTACCATTTACCACTTACGCATTATATCTTCTTCTTTCTCTTTCATTTAAACAATTTTCTTCCAGCCTCTCTCTCAATTTCTTCTTCTTCTGCAACTCCCCCAACTTCTTCTTTTCCTTCATTTTTTTCTCCATTAATCCTATATTTTACTTTATTGGAAGCTTTAACTTTTTATTTCAAAGGTAATAAAATTATTTCTATATGTTATTTAAGATATATATTGTTATATTAATTTATAAATTCTATTTTTTGTTGGATTAAATTCGTAGGTATTTATTATATTTTTCTCCATCAACACTAATTTTATTTAATAAAGCTTCTTTATAAGGTATGTAATTTATTTTATTTTTTTATTGAACTTTTTCTGAATTATATGTTACATTTAGGTAAATTAAATTGGTTTAGGTATGTATTAGATTTAGTTGATATAATTATGTATGTTAGATTTAGTTTATATATATTATATATTAAGTTAATTGTTACTCTAAAAATACATTTATATTTTATATATTTTTTTATTCCAAAAATATATTATATATTATATATTTTATTATATTAAATAGTATATTAAAACAGTTTATATATTATATTTTTTTATTTCAAAAATATATTATATATTATATATTTCATTATATTAAATAGGTCATTGAAACAGTTTATATATATTAAATTTTTTATTCCAATATATATATTATATATTATATATTTTATTATATTAAAACAGTTTATATATTTAATTATATTAAATAGTTTATATATTATATATTATATATCATAAAAATAGTTTATATAAAAGCGTATATTTAGTTTATAGAAAAAACAGTATATTTAGTTTATATCTAATTTAATTATTTAGTATATTTAATAAATATTTAGTTTAAATAAAACATAATATATTTAATTTATATAAAAAAACAGTTTATTTAGATTATAAATGGTATACTTAGTTATTTTAGAAAACATTATATTGAGTTTATATAAAAAATATATATTTAGTTTATATAAAATATAATAAATATTTAGGTAATCTAAATAATAGTATATTTAGCTTATAGAAAAAATAGTATATTTAATTTATATATAATTTAAATATTTAGTATATTTAGTAAATATTTAGTTTAAATAAAACATAATATATTTAATTTTTATAAAAAACAGTTTATTTAGATTATAAATATTATATTTAGTTATTTTGAAAAACATTATATATTTTGTTTATATTAAAAAAAGTATATTTAGTTTATATAAAATATAATAAATGTTTAGTTAATCTAAATAATAGTATATTTAGTTTATAGAAAAAACAGTATATTTAA